ACAGGCAGGCGAAGCGACTGGTTGATGATTCCTTAATGGAAAAGCCAGCGCTGCAGGAGGTGAGCAATGAATCCAGAGGAGGATGGCTCGGAGACCTGAGCCCAAAGCAACAGAGTCAAGGCTTGAAGGAAGGAAGAGTGGAGCGCAGACGGGGCGTAGCTGCCACAGTAGGTGACTGAACCAACTGGCGATGAGTAGCAGGTTGCGCTGGCTTCTATAGTTCATTGTGATCGAGAGCGAACGAGGCTCAGGTGCGAGGCGGGCGGCTCCGCCCAAGAGAGAGCCGGTGAACCATCCAAAACACAATCCCCGCAGCTGCTCCCACGGACCGTGACAGGCCGGGGTTTCAAGCCATCCGAGCAGGTAGTAAAATGTGACGTCACTCGATGAGTCATGACAGCGTTTGTTCAATCAAAACTCCCATCTAAAAAAAAAAACCCGGCAACGAGGAAATGGCTACAAAAAAGCAACGGCGTCCCCGAGTCTGACGAAAGGTCACAGACCAAGCAGCAGGAGTGTCGTTTCCTCGACGACCACCGTCGTTTTAGCCTCCGTGTCGCACGCTAATTGTGTCTAGCGACACTCGGACGACCTCGCACATCAGGTAGTACACGGCTGTAATGGGAAAACCAGTCGATCCGAGTCGAGTCGTGGCGAGTCGACCAGCGTAGGTACTAATGGGGCTAACATGAAAATGATCCCAGCAGCTGCTGTGAGTCCTGTGAAAACTGCCTTCATCATGTGACTGCACGATCCAGCACACATGCTTCCTACAAGATGATAGTGTGATAAAACCTAAACGTATTCGATGTTTGTATTCATGCTCATCATGATGTCACTGGCCTCGAGTTTCAGCATCACACTTTGGAAATGTGATAGAAGCACATCTGACAGCTGGTCTCTGGATGAGATCAGTGCAGCTGAAGACAATGAGGTAGAAACGAGTAATGGATGAAGAAGAAATGAGAACATTTCCCAGCAGGTGTTTGTGTCTCAGAGGAAACGCCACCTGAGCAAACAAGTGTGTAGATCTGTGCTTAAGTCCCTGCCAGGCTGGCACGCCGTGTCCTCGGGGCTCTGTCAGGGTCGTAAGGCCTCAGGTAAAAAAACAACCAAATCATATTCAGTGTTTCCTACACTCATGTAACAGACGGGAAAATAAAAACAGAGGATAGGAAACAGAGAACTATAGGAGCTACACGAGTACAGACGTCGAAGCACTTTGTGTCATCGTATCATCCCTCAGTTGGCCTCGACGGCTGATTGTGCTTTGGTGGCTTTTAAAGAAAGGAGGATAATGGAACTGTGTTTTTAATCAGCAGCAATGACTCGATTAATTTCAATAGTTGTTTAATTCATTTTTGTTTCTCTGTGTGGCAGAAAAACTGCAGCCACAGTTGATCTTTGTGTGAGATCTCATTGCTGGGTTTTCATTGATTATGCACACGAACGATGCCGTTTCATGCAAATACTCAGTTTGATGTTTTTGTCTTTTCCTCGGAGCTCAAAGCTTTCTGATTTTTCACCAAAGTCATTCATCCTAAAACTGATCCCTGCCTTCCAACCAGCGACGCACAGACCGTTCCTCTTGTCCTGTCGTTGATCCTTCAGTTTATGTATGTAGTCTGGTGTCAGACCGGATCCACGTGGGCCTGACGGGTCCAGGCCTGTGCGACAGGGAAACAAACAGGTAGATGGAGCCAAATGCTAAAAACGATAAGCCAGCCGTTGTTTAGTGACAGCTTTATTAAAAATCTGCTTGTGTAACTTAAAGCACAGATCCATGTCCACAGGAGAACACGAACATAAAATCCAAACAAATGCATTTTGTGGATGCATCAGTAATTTAGCTCAGCTGTCCACAGTCTGCTGCTCGTCGATGGTTTTCCTGTGATTGTTGTGTAAACGCACACAGGACACACACTGTCGGTTTGTTCTCACGTGGACTCTGCAGCCTTGAGCCTCCCAAGGAGAGGATAACAACAGCATGACAGATCCAGGACGAGCTGTTCTTTGCTGCTGTGGCGGGGAGTCTCTCAGCATTGTGATGTGAACGAGGTCATGGTCATTCTGTCCTATTACAGGCCTGTCGCTTGTTAATTAAAGAGAAGGAGAAGAATTATGGAGCGGTGGATGAAAAGCACGTGGACAGATGCGGCATGACGCTGCATGATCGTGTCTGATTCGCTTTAACGGTTAAACGCTGGGGGGAGGGGGGCTGAGGTTCCTAGTTATAAGAAATGTTAGCGATAGCTGAGAGCAAGACAGCTTTAAATGTCAGTTAAATCAGGTTTGGACTCATTCATATTAATGCAGCGCGGATGTGAAATGTATTAAAAGTTGCGCCCGCAGACAAAGCTCGCCGCGCTGTGCCGACAGGTGCAGAGTTCACGCTTTGTTTTCTCCTGCTGAATATCATCTTCAGCCCTGCTCTGTGGCCATTAGAGGCTGTCCGCCTGTCCCCGGCACACCTGTTGTGCTGTATCTGTTCAATGCCATAAACAGACTGTGGACAGCTTATTAAGGCAGCCGGCCATCGTCCTGATTCACCCCACGTGTCAATAACGGGGAGCTTCTCTCTCACTTCTCAGCACAGCTTTCCCCTCTTGTTCCTGACGTTTCTCCCGTCTCTCTCTTTTGTCATTAGGCCCAGTAATTGGCCCCCTCTCCGGCCTCACAGCTGTCTCCCTTCACATCCTTCCCGTTGTCTTCTCTTTAATGTCCTGAGGTGTGTTGCTTGGGTCATGTGTTAGATTTCTTCTGCGAGCAGTACATGTCGCTGTAGCGTGGCTTGACCTCAAAAAGGGGACTAACAAGACGAGACGCGAGTGCTCGGCGCCTGCCCCCCACGCAGCAGCCGTGTGAAGGCTTCCAGCACTTTGAGCCAACCTGGTACCGCAGGTTGTACATAAACATGTAAGCCTGACCCCACGGGGTATATTTAGCACCTGAGGGGAAAGGTGAGGTTTGATCACATTTAAAAGAAGCTTAAATACACATTTTTCAGCTAAACCCTGCTGGAGGGTTTTCTACAGCCATGTCTGTGTAATGAGCAAACCCATGTAAGCACTAATTAACCTGCAGAGAAACAGTTACATTCATTATATGCTTAAATCACTGATGCTTT